ATCTAGTCAGGCTGACCCCATCATACAATTATCAGTCTACACAATCTTTCATTTTTCTCTTCCTCAGTAAGCATTATCAATTCACATTTTAAACAAGCAAATCGTAATTCATGCCAAACAGACAACATACGGTATCAGTTTTTCAGTCATTCAACCCATAACCAATAAAAACGTAATATATGCACACGAAACTATAAAATAAACACATCAAACCTCATACTGCATTTAAAGCTGTAAAACATGCCAAATAACAGTAAATCATCAATCACACTAGACTCGGGCTCCATTAGCAACCTTAAGCAATTTCACACATTCATTAATTCAAGAAATACCGTTTTTATCATTTTGAACTTTAATACCGTGATAGGAAATAGGGTGAGGGGTCCTTACTTGTTTTCGGGATCCGAATACGATTCACAGTGCGCCTACAGGCCGTCCCTAATTTTCCCTGAATTTTTCCCGGGGAACTGAAACACACTAACGGTACCTGCACGTGTTCCAAAAAAAAACCCAAATTAGGTCCAGGGCCTCTTTCGGCCCAAATCGCAACTCCGGCACGGCGGCGAGTCGCCTCGGGTTGGCTGTTTTCGGCCGTTTTCGGCCGAATTCGGCCACACTCGCATCGGTCCCTGTGAGAAAACAACCCTAGGACCCTCGGGGGGCCAAAAAATCACGGAAAAACGGAGCTTACCGGCGGCGGCGCTCTCGGGTGCGGCGGCTCTCCGGCGAGGTTCGTGTTTTGGTGATTCGGCTCCGGTCAACCTGTAGAGAAAAGAATGGTGATCACGGTGATATAAAAATTGCATCAAACGGAAGCCGGGAAAGGCCTCATCGGAGGCAAAAACAGAGAGGGGGGCGCGGCGGCGCCGCTGGTCTTCGGCCGCGTATTCCGGCCGTTTGGCCGGGATTTTGGCTTCGATTTGGCCATAGGAGGAATCAGCGTGGAAAAACAAGTCGGGGGTATGAAATTTACCTCGATCGGCGGTCGGAAATTTCCCCGGTGCGGCGACGGGTGGCGGCGGTCGGCCTCTGGTTCGTCTTCTCCGGCGAGCGGCAGGCGGCTAGGGTTTGTGGTCTGGTGTGGGGGTTCTATTTATAACCCCTTGCCCTTTGATCTCAGCCGTCGATTTTAT